TTTTTTGAGGATTTCTTGAGGATTTTTTGTGGATTTTTTGAAGGTTTTTTGAGGATTTTTTGAGGATTTCTTGAGGATTTTTTTTGGGTTTTTTTGAGGATTTTTTTAGGATTTTTTCTGTTTTTTTTGGGGAATTTTTGGGGTTTTTTGTAGATTTTTTGTGGATTTTTTGAGGATTTTTTGAGGATTTTTTCTGGATTTTTGGGGAATTTTTTAGGGAATTTTTTGGGGTTTTTTGTGGATTTTTTGTGGATTTTTTCTGGATTTTTTCTGGTTTTTTGGGGAATTTTTGGGGAATTTTTTGTAGATTTTTCTGAGAATTCTTTGTGCATTTTTGGGGGGATTTTTTTATTTATTTTTGTAGGATTTTTTTTTATTTTTTTGTGGATTTTTTGAGGATTTTTTGATGATTTTTTGAGAATTTTTTCTGGATTTTTTTGGGGAATTTTTGAGGGTTTTTTGTAGATTTTCTGAGGATTTTTTGAGGATTTCTTGAGGATTTTTTGTGGATTTTTTGAAGGTTTTTTGAGGATTTTTTGAGGATTTCTTGAGGATTTTTTTTGGGTTTTTTTGAGGATTTTTTTAGGATTTTTTCTGTTTTTTTTGGGGAATTTTTGGGGTTTTTTGTAGATTTTTTGTGGATTTTTTGCGGATTTTTTGAGGAGTTTTTCTGGTTTTTTGGGGAATTTTTTAGGGAATTTTTTGGGGTTTTTTGAGGATTTTTTGAGGATTTTTTGAGGATTTTTTGAGGATTTTTTTGTGGATTTTTTGAGGATTTTTTGAGGATTTTTTCTGTTTTTTTGGGGAATTTTTTAGGGAATTTTTTAGGGAATTTTTTAGGGAATTTTTTGTGGATTTTTTGTGGATTTTTTGAGGATTTTTTCTGTTTTTTTGGGGGAATTTTTGGGGAATTTTTTGGGGTTTTTTGTAGATTTTTCCGAGAATTCTTTGTGCATTTTTTTTTGGGATTTTTTTGGGATTTTTTTTGGGTTGGAAATTTGGGAATTGTCACCTTGAAGAGGGCGGAGAGTTGGGATCCTCCCTGGATTTTGGGAATTTCCCAGCGGATGCTCCGGGAAGGCAAATCCAGCTCGGCCGATTGCTCGGGGCTGCTCAGCTCCTGCCACAGGCTGGGGGCAGAATTCCCAAAAAACATTCCCAGAACATTCCCAGAACATTCCCAAAAATACCCCAGAACATTCCCAAAAAATCCCCAAAATATTCCCAAAAAATCCCCCCAAAAAATCCCCAAAGTATTCCCGAACATTCCCAAAAAACATTCCCAAAACATTCCCAAACATTCCCAAACATTCCCAAAAATACCCCAAAACATTCCCAGAAATACCCCAAAAAATCACCCAAAAATACCCCAAAACATTCCCAAAACATTCCCAAAAAATCACCCAAAAATACCCCAAAACATTCCCAAAACATTCCCAAAAATACCCCAAAACATTCCCAAACATTCCCAAAAATACCCCAAAACATTCCCAAAAATACCCCAAAACATTCCCAGAAATACCCCAAAACATTCCCAAAAATCCCCAAAACATTCCCAAAAAACATTCCCAAAACATTCCCAAAAAATCCCCCCAAAAATCCCCAAAATATTCCCAAAAAACCCCAAACATTCCCAAAAAATCCCAAAAAAATCCTCAAATATTCCCAAAAAATCCCCAAAATATTCCAAATAAAACCCCAAAACATTCCCAAAAAAACCCCCAAAAATTCCCAAGAAAACCCAAAAATATCCCAAAAAAACCCCCAAAATCCCCCCAAAATTCCTAAAAATCCCCCAAAAAAATCCCCCCAAAATTCCCAAAAAATCCCCAAAACATTCCC